AAGTAATGAGACAAGGCTTTAGCCTGACACTGTATAAATATTTGCATTTTCTTAGAACCTCTGGTTTAGCATCGTGTCTCCACCACAGTCTGGGTGTCAGGGGGCCTAACACAGCAAAACACAACCCCCCACCCCCACCCCGCCTTCCCAAGACAAAGGCACAAAGGATCGGGCTGGCCCACTCCCTGACAAGTTCGGGGCAAAAGATCCTAACTTTCCAGGCCAGCTGTGGGATTAACCACCCCCTAAAGTCCTACATAAAAGGGTGTCTAACTGCCTCCCTTTTCCCGAGCCCTGGCCTGCACACCAGGCACACCTGTCCACTGTGGCCTTGTCTGCGGGAGCCGCTGCTTACACCTTTCCCTGGGTCCACGCCAGGCTGGCTCTTTCCCCCTCCTCTCCTTCCTCCTCCATCTGCTCCTCCCTCTGTCTCTGGGACTTTAATTTGCTGCCTTTTAAATCTGCTTGGTGCCACCCTGGCTCACTTTGCACTTTGGAAGGCTGAGGGGGCAGAGTCACTTGAGGTCAGGAGTTTGAGACCCTGTTCCTCCAAAACACCACAAAAATCAGCAGGGCGTGGTGGTTTGTGCCTGTAGTCCCAGCTACTTGGGAAGCTGAGGTGGGAGGGCCGCCGGAGGCCGGGAGTTTGAGGTTGCTGTGAGCTATGATGCACTCTAGCCTGGGTGACAGACTGAGGTCCTGTCTCAAAAAATAAAAACAAACAAACCTGTTTTTAAGTTATCATAACGGTACTAGCCAGGACCTTCAGCTTTACCAGGAGTGGTGGTAATGAGTACACTTATTTCACAATTGATTTGTAGACAATGCTTTTGTTTCCTCATAAAATTGATGTATTTGTCCCAATGTTATCTTCAACGATAATGTCAATGTTTTCCCTATAGTTGATGTTCTCTAAATGTTCATGGAATAAAGGAGCCTGAAATAAAATACATAAATAAATAAAAACAAATCTGTTTGGTTCTGTGACTTCACGTACAAGGGGCAAAATGTGTATGAGGAACAACTGAAAGGCTGATCTAAAGAGTATCTATCCGACTGCGCTATGAAAGCTCTGGATATGAGTCACTGTCTCGGAAGTTCCTAAAAATACGCATCCCTTCATGTTCCATGGAGGGATGAATCTTTGCTGATACAAAGGCACTGAGAGCAGCACGAGAGAGGAACAGAACTAACGGAAGGAGCAAGGTCAGCACAGGGCCAGAGCTAGGACTGGGTGCATCCCCCCTTCACCCCAGCGGCAGGCTCTGCAACTCCGGCTCTCAGCGACCTCCTTTCTCAAGTGGGCACATGATGCTGTCCCAGCCACATGAGAGTCCTGAGAGGATCAAATGGAATGAAGCTTATGAAATTCTGCTGAAAACCACAACAAATTGTTCAGAGCAGTGAGGAGCGATGGGACATTGAACTCTGGGAGAGGTGGCAGGGAGGGTGTGCCATTCGGAGCCCAGGAAGAGGCCCCGAGCAGTGGGTGGTATAAGGGTGGGGGGGGGGATGGGTATGAGGGGAGAATAAGCAAAAATTAACCCTGAGTAGGGTCAGGGATTAGAGGCCAACTCTGCTACCTGGGAGTGTTACCCAAGGCCAGCAGCCCACCCACGCTGCATTCTTTCTAAGACTTTCATGAAAAATATAGAAACAGAAGTCTAGCTTTTTTGGGGTGGGGGGGGAGACAGAGCCTCAAGCTACTGCCCTGGGTAGAGTGCCATGGCATCACAGCTCACAGCAACCTTCAACTCCTGGGCTTAAGTGATTCTCTTGACTCAGCCTCCCAAGTAGCTGGGACCACAGGTGCCTGCCACAATACCCGGCTATTTTTTGGTTGTAGTTGTCATTGTTGTTTCGTGGGCCTGGGCTAGATTCGAACTCGTCAGCTCTGGTGTATGTGGCTAGCGCCTTGGCCGCTTGAGCTACAGGTGCCAAGCCAAAAGTCTAGCATATTAATCAAAGAAATAAAACTTCAAGCCTCATAAGCCTCAGAACGTCCTTCTTGGGAGTCTACACACCCATGTTGTGGCCTCGGCAGGAAAGCTTTAAGGAGGACGTCATTGCTTCTAATGCAGATGACATGAGATCCCTGGGACAGAGCCTGTATCTGAATCCTAGTCCAGTCTCCTCACCTCTAGGACAAGCATGAAACAAAGCAGCTGGAATCTTCAGGCCAGGGAAACTCAGTGAGACGAACTCTAGCCTAGGATTCAGGACTCAAGTTCCAGACCCAGTGCTGCTACCAGTCACTGACCCCTCCCTGCCTCGGTTTCCCTGTCTGTAAGGTCCACATACTGGCATTCTCGAGTCCCTGTTGGTGAAGATGGAAACCTGGAATGGAGAAAGACCTTTGGCAACAGAGATGCCTACAGAAAAGATGTGCACATAAGGAAGGGAGTGTCCAGGCCCTGGAAGAGCAGAGGCCAATCCTGGCCGGCTCTGCTTCCAGGAGGCTCCACCCCACCCAGGAGGAATCCCAGGAGGCAGCTATACGAAGGAGGAGGAAAGCTGTACTTTACGCCAAGCTCCCCCAGGTCCGGGACCGTGTCAGCTCGGGTCTATCCCCAGCACACCCAATAGAAGGAGAACAAGTGACTGCAGGAAAACTGCCCAGCAAGTAGGAATATGATGCTTCAGTAAAAAGTCACCAATGTTACCCAGTGACGAGCAGTAAGGCTGAAACATGTGCCTGGTTATCAGGGCAAAATACAAATACACCAAGGTCCTCGTCCACCAAGGAGGGCACAGCTTGCTCCAACCCATTACTTTCAAGGCGGAAAATCTAAGGTCCAGGCTGGGTAACTGAGAAGCCAAAGGCCCGAAACTGCAGGAACGATGAGGATGCAGGTATAATAGGTCCGACTGCTGCTCAGAGAAGAGCGAGTCAGTAACGAAAGGTTTAGGAAACAAGGCATTGTGTACTTTTAAGAATAGGAAGGGTGATAAGAGCTGCCAACAGAGAAGCTTTGCAGTAAGTGGAGTTCAAGTGCCCTTCACGTCCCCACAATAAAATGGACTTATTTAAAGAGCCAAACACTCAGGTCAGAAAAAGGCAGAAAAGCCTGGTGTCAGGGATCAGAATCCTTTCCTCAAAAAAAGTCATTCCTGAAAATCGTGACCTTTTCTAACTGTAATCCTCTTGAATATTTTATCAGGATCCACAAACATTCACAGCAGGAATCTTTACATTAATAAATAGCACAATGAAACTCTGTAATGCCCCAATTCTTTGTTTAAACATCTAGATTTCTTCCTTGGGGGCAGCAGAAATTTATGCTGCCTATTGTTTCCAAAATAATGTCACTTCTGCTAAGTAAACACAATTTTTTTCATAGAAATCAGGCATCTGAGGGCTCTTCAGGTTACCCTTGCAGACACCCTCTCTGCACTATCAAACGAGCCCTAGGCTAATAAGACATGTAGTAATTATACACGTCTGGCCACGAGATGTTCTTCTCAGTGTAAATATTTTATGGAGCCAGCACCGTGCAATGGCACCCGCAGAGTGAAGTACTGCCTCGGTGAGCCCCAGGGAATCTTAACCACATCTCATTAATCAGCCCCCCTTGTTCCCATACCTGCAATGGTGTTTCAAGAGACCAAAAGCCATTAAGAAATAAAAACACCCCTGAAAGATGGATATTAACACTGTTTACTAAAAGGAAGCATTACTGAGATTTCAAATGCAGCATGCATGATAATTGAAAAGCTTACCTGGTGACCTGTTGGGGGCAGAAGCAAGTGGTCTACAGAGAAATCACGAGTTACATCTATTCTACTAAGCCAGTAAACAGACACTCAGTTTTACCTCGTTCTCCGGGGTGGGAGATGGCGTTACGGAACTAAGTGAGCCTTTCCTAGAACCCTGAAGATCTGCGGGGATGGACACGGGACGTTCCCACTGGGTCGTTCCTGTAGGGATGTGCCAGTAATAGGTCCCCGCGATGTCATTGATCCTTTTCCAGCCAGGTGGCAAATCGGGGTCGGTCTGAAATGAGTGATCACTCCATATATCTGCTGAGAAATGGGGGAGGGAAAGGATTTTATTAAAAGAAGAAGAGTCTTCCAAGATCAGTACCAAAACTCAGCTGAGCCCCATAGGCAGGTGTGTG